AATGACTGACGTGATGAGGTCCCCAGTGACGTGATATTTCCCAGTGCGCAATGACCGACGTGATGAGGTCCCCAGTGACGTGATATTTCCCAGTGCGCAATGACCGACGTGATGAGGTCCCCAGTGACGTGATATTTCCCAGTGCGCAATGACTGACGTGATGAGATCCCCAGTGACGTGATATTTCCCAGTGCGCAATGACTGACGTGATGAGGTCCCCAGTGACGTGATATTTCCCAGTGCGCAATGACCGACGTGATGAGGTCCCCAGTGACGTGATATTTCCCAGTGCGCAATGACTGACGTGATGAGATCCCCAGTGACGTGATATTTCCCAGTGCGCAATGACTGACGTGATGAGATCCCCAGTGACGTGATATTTCCCAGTGCGCAATGACTGACGAGATGAGGTCCCCAGTGACGTGATATTTCCCAGTGCGCAATGACCGACGTGATGAGGTCCCCAGTGACGTGATATTTCCCAGTGCGCAATGACTGACGTGATGAGGTCCCCAGTGACGTGATATTTCCCAGTGCGCAATGACTGACGTGATGAGGTCCCCAGTGACGTGATATTTCCCAGTGCGCAATGACCGACGTGATGAGGTCCCCAGTGACGTGATATTTCCCAGTGCGCAATGACTGACGTGATGAGGTCCGACGTGGGGCATGATTGATGTCAGAGGTCTACGTGGGCCAGGAGTGACGTGAGGTCCGACGTTGGCCAGGAGTGACGTCAGAGGTCTACGTGGGCCAGGAGTGACGTCAGAGGTCTACGTGGGCCAGGAGTGACGTCATAGATGCCATGATGGCCATGAATAACGGTAGGGGTCCCAGGTTGGCAAAGATTGACGTCAGAGGTCGCCAGCAAGCCATGAATAACGTAACAGTTCCCCAGTAGGCCATGACTGACGTCACGGTTCCCCAATAGGTCATGATAGACGTTGGAGTTCCCCAGTAGGCTTTGCCTAAAGTCAGAGATCCGCAGTTGGCCTTGAATTACGTCAGAGATCTCCATTTGGCAATGATCATCGTTAGGATCTCAAGTAGGCCATGATTGACTTTCGTGATCCCCAGTAGGCCATTATTGGTGTGATAGAGCCCCGCTGCGCCCTGATTGACGTCATAGATCCCCTGTATTCCATGATAGACGCGAGAAGTCCCCAGTAGGCCATGAATAACATCACAGTTACTCAGTAGGCCATGATTGACGTCCGGGATCTCCAGGCTGAGATTGACAGAAGACATCACCACGAATGCGTTAACATACATGAGGAGTGAAGATATCATCGTGTTATCACCCGCAGCTGCACTGGCCTAGACTGTTATAGACTTGCCTGGGCTGTATTGGATATAGGCATTTCAGAGTCTGCATGACGGAATATCAGAGCCTTGTAGCTAGACTAACAACTAGTCTCTGAAATGAACATATTTTACTGAAAAAAAGTTCATAGTAAAAAAGAATATATATAATGAAAAGGAGCCCTGAGACTTTCTTCATTTTCAGAAGCTGAGGAAATCTAGACTTGCCACATTTTCTAGACTTGCGTGGGCTTCTTGGGCTTGTTTCAGGGTCTGTACGACGGACTACCTTGTAGTGTGCAAACCCTTTCGCTTTCCAACTGAAGCGTATGTAAAATATGCGTATCCCTACTTTTTGTTCGACTGTCCACGATACACTCAAACATCAGTTGGTAGTCTGTCTCACAGTCCCTGAACCACACTATTTTACCTACTGCCTAGCCTTCCTCTATGCAATGCTAAAGCCCTACATGACGCAAGTCAAGATTTCCTCAGGTTCAGGAATTTCACATCAAGCTCCTTTTCAATTTAAATGGGCTTTTTCGTTACAATCAATATTATATATGATCAGAGACAGTTGGTTCGGCGGGCCTCGCGGCAATATTCATGAACATAATCACTTCTTAATACTTTTGTGGAAATAGCAAAAACCGAAACGATTATATTTAGCAATAAACTAGGTCACCTGCGCTGTAAATATAGTAGGGCGGTGGGGTAGCCTAGTGGTTAAAGCGTTTCCTCGTCACCGAGGTTCAATTCCTCAGATGGGTACAATGTGTGAAGCCCTTTTCTGGTGTCCCCCGCCGTGATGTTGCTGGAATATTGCTAGAAGCGGCCAAAAACCAAACTCACTCACTCACTGTAAATATTGTAAGTGCAACTGCCGGCCTTTTCCCTCTTTTTTCGGTTCTTGAAATGTAGAGACGCAATACAAAGTTGAAAATATTATCGCTTGATCAGGGATTGAAAACACAAGTGGGTGGAAACAGGCACTTTATAAATGGCCATTGATATTATATTATTATTATCTGTAGACATGAAAAACAGTGGAACACTATATTACATTTTGATAGGTTTCTTTCTTTTTGAGGGGCGGTGGGTAGTCTAGTGGTTAAAGCGTTGGCTCGTCAAGCCGAAGACCCGGGTTCGAATCCCCACATGGGTACAACGTGTGAAGCCCATTTCTGGTGTCCCCCGCCGTGGTGTTGCTGGAATATTGCTAAAAGCGGCGTAAAGCCAAACTCAGTCAGTCAGTCTTTCTTTTTGAACTCCGAAATCTGCGATAATACACGGTATGGCGCTTGCCTGAAAAAAAATCAAATATAGGGCTGTGTATTGGCAAATAAATTGCATTGCACTATATTGCGATTCAGGTACCCGTATTGCGATACGTATTGCGATATATTTGAAACTTAAGTGTTTGACAGTGAGTAACACTAATGGTGCATGTCAATCCCATTTTCTACGTTATAAGTCCCTAAACATACATGTTATGGTTCTGATAACAGCAATCTCAAAAATTAGGTTGCATAGCCATGGATTCCATTTTCTTTTATAGACACTTTATAGTATTACAGTATTATAGTATTACAGTATTATAGTATTACAGTATTATAGTATTACAGTATTATAGCATTACAGTATTATAGCATTACAGTATTATAGTATTACAGTATTATAGTATTACAGTATTATAGTATTATAGTATTATAGTATTACAGTATTATAGTATTATAGTATTATAGCATTACAGTATTATAGCATTACAGTATTACAGTATTATAGTATTATAGCATTACAGTATTATAGCATTACAGTATTACAGTATTATAGTATTACAGTATTATAGCATTACAGTATTATAGCATTACAACGCCCGGCCTCATATTTCCATAGCATTACAGTATTATACTCTTGGTCGAGTATTACAGTATTATAGTATTATGGTATTACAGTATGCCGTTTTGTGATTGAATAACGAAGGAAAATATTTGTTGTGAATGACAGTATGTGTAGATTTCAACTGAACCATAAAGATAATCAAAAACTTCATATACATGTATGTTCTTTGCCCAATATACCGGTTCTCAGAAGAAATATTGCAATGCGTGTCATTTGAAAAGCGTATTGTGATATACCGATATACCGATATACCGATAATACCGATAATACCGTGCCGTTCTAATCATATAATAATAAAAATAGTCCATCCATGCGCTGACTCCGTGGTGTAGTGGTTAGAGCGTCCGCCCGGTGAGCGGAAGGTCGCGGGTTCGATCCCCGACCTCCTCATACCAAAAGACGTTAAAATATGGTACTTGTTGGTCTCTGTCTGGCGCTCGACATTAATGGGTACAACAAGGACTGGTCGGCTCGGAGTCAGTATAATGTGTCTGATTCGGGTATTCATGCTTCACTGCGGCATGGTATCTCAGTGGGCTAGCACTATAAAACCAGCTTCAGTCTGGGCTAGTACAAGCAGCCACACATACACATACACACGCATGCACGTCGTCATATGAGCGAAATATTCTCAAGCACGACTTTAAACCCAATTTCACATCATCCCTGGTCAACGAGTACAGAACACTCCCTGTGGAGAATACAACCGGTCGCCTGTCAGGCGCTCAAGGTTTAAATTCAGACTACCATCGTATCATACCAGGTACCCAGTTTACTGCTGGGTGGACAGAGGCAAGTTTGAACAAACTCACTTGCCTTAGGTGAGACCACATGTATGACATGTGCTTCGTTGTGGGGCAGGGCTGAAATCGCTCCAGACAATCCTATGACTGATGTCGTGAGAACTGGAGTTGATTAGGTGCTTATATCTGCTATTAATGAAACTAAACCTGACGATTAATTTTCCTCTATGGTAAATATGTCGCAGTGACTTTATTCCTCATCATCAACAAAACATCTGTAATCCTACATAGTCCTACAAGGAACTACCTCATTTTATACAACACAATTGATTAACTCGTTTTGGTTTCTGACGGAAACTGAAAACCTACATTATTCCATTTTTACTAAACAAAAGCATATAATCTGGATTAGAGTGACTAAGGGACGATGAGGTAGCCTTGTGGTTTAAGCGTTTGCACGTCCCGCCGAAGACATAAGTTCGATTCTTTAAATGAGTACAATGTGTTGATATTGCTATAGTGCTAAAAGCGTCGTAAAACCTTACTCACTCACTATATCGATCAAAAATCAATAATTCTAAGAAGGATTCTGACGGTAGTGTCCTTTCTACCCTGAAAACAAAACAGATATACTTGTAGAATACGGAAAGATGTGATTTGAATATCCGAGATTGTCTAGGCAGATATACCTCCCTTTTGTTTTCACCATTACAGCAATTCGTCAATCTTTGCAAATCCGTAATATGCAGTTCGTCATCCAAAACCCCATAGGCCTGTGATTTAAGCCATTTTTCACTTTCACTTTTTCTCTCTCACCAAATAACTGCTTGATGTTCTTCGTTTTGATAAAGGAGATTGTAAATCAACACACATGTGATCCTACATGCAAACTTTCAGCTCAGTGAGCCTTGTATTACAGAGGAGATGTTGACGGAAGGAAAACGCGCCACTATACGTGTTCTCGTCTCTAAAAATAGACATATCTGGAACGCTTGATTACAATAGAATTGAAATGTATTTTTACTGACAAACAAAACTGATAATACTTCATGGTACACGTGATGTTATCTTTTAATGCTAGATGGGGAAGAAAACATTTATGGTCAACCCGGCTGGGTCCTACACATTCACTAAAGTACACTGTTTAACACAAGGCACTGGTGAAGTTCGAGCCCACACATATCGTTTCCTTTTACAGACACACAAGAAATCCGGCCATCCGAGTAATCAAGAGTGGAATGGCCAGGTACATGTTGATAGACATAAACTTGAAGCATACTCAGTGGTCGATCTATTGCAACGACAGCTCCCCCGAAAGGGGTCTTGTGTTTCCGGTCTTTCCCGGTCATTTCCGGATGACAGTTTTCCGGATGATAAACTAAGGGCAGGGAACTCTAATAGCTGATCGCCAGCTCAAAAGAGTTTGTTTTTTCAAATCGCTATTGTTATACTTGACTAAATCTATAAGAATCGCGTTATTTACGAAAAATTCAAGTACTACAGATAATGTTGCTTAATAATATATTTCCCAAATGATAACAGAAGAAGTCCTGCTGCATCTTGTGAAATGTTCCGTTACACACGAACGGCGGCGAAGATGAAGAGTCTTGAAATACCAAGTATATGTATCCAAAGTTATCCATTCCCCATCGGTGTGAGTGCGCAGTGTAGATGTCTCGTTCAGACGTGACACTCATTAATCCATCGCCCGTTTGGATAATTGAGTGTAAGTACCGTTGACATGTGACTTGCAAATGGAGATGAAAAACTGTTAATTGTATGTCAGGTCGTGCAATGTCAGCGTCCGGTTCTGGCGTCCGACATCACGTTCCAACGTCCAAAACCGACTTCTTACAATTGAAATTAACATTTCAAAACGGTCCGAACTGACCAGGTCCAATTGTATGATGTTTTCCGACCAATGCATAGATGTATCCTCGGCGCATGCGTAGCGTCCATTGATACTTCCTGTTTCAACTCACTCGCACGTGACTGCGGCAGGTTTCAGCCCGGGACACTGACGGGCACCGAAGTTATTATGCCTGCAGGCGTCCAGCCTAATCTCCGTGCCACGACACTGGACATTGGTCATCCACAAGGATCTGGAGTTACGCGACCGGTCACGTGAATTTCTCATCCAACCAGCTGTGTAGCCCATCTGTTCACAAGCCACCTGAGCCTCGTTTCGGCCAAAGCCATGTGAGCAAATGGGCATCCATCTTGAGCTGTGGTAGATCTCAACGTGGCCCGTGTTCACGTCGCTGCTTTCTTCAAAAGGAACCAGGCGCAGCATGTGATCTGGAACAGAAGGTTGAATAGGTTTAGTGAACACGGACAATATATCAAGAACTATTATCAAGAATACAATCGCCTTGTGTCGAAGTTAAACAAACCAAAATGACTACTTCGAGGCTTGACACAACCAGGGATAATTTACGTTATATATAGTCTCCCTGACACAACGAAGGAATGCGCAGGGCCCAAGCTTTTACTTACGCATACAAATTGGACACAGCAGTGTTTTACTGTAGTAGCTTTCACTTATGCTTGACTGGAAATGAATTCTTACGTTGCAAAGAAATCACTTACTCCTTTGTTTACACAATTTCATATTAAGTTGTGTTTCCTCTAGAAAGTTCGTTGTTTGTTGATTAACGCAGAACTCATCAATTTTGCAGCTATGTGGCGGCGGTCTGTCGATAATCGTGTCTGGACCAGACAATCAAGTGATCAACAGCATGTGTCAACGAGCCTGACCACCCGATCCCACTGGTCGCCTCTGTCGAGTCTCTACTATTATTATTATTATTATGTTTTACAGATTGAAGATAATATGCAGCAGAGAGGGTTCGGGTGATCCTGGCACAGTCAGGCTGGTAAGGCTCATCATCAGCTCAGGGCCCTTGCCCCCTCTACACGCAGCCCAGACAGCGAATGGGACTTCTCCCAGGAAACGCTGCCTAGTCGAACCCACCAAGAACTTTCCGGAGAATATGAAGGCTCCCCAACACTGCAGCCTTCTGCATTACCCAGAGTGTCAGAAGAGCAGTACTCCCGGTGGAGAACCCGGGCACTCTCCTGATCTCTGCCAAAAGATCAGGAGGTACCAAACCAAGGGCACCGAGAACAATGGGGAGCCTGACGACAGTGTACTTGGGATGCAAGCGAAACATTTCAAAGGCGAGGTCCGCATATTTATCATGCTTTTCCTTGATCTTGTCAATCACATTCCTGTCAAAAGGGACAGAAAATTCAATGATATATATAAATTCATTGGCTTTATCAAAAAAGGACAAGATCAGGTTTGTTAGCTGGAATTCTTCTGAGGCTGTATATGGGCCTATTCCACAGAAGTTTGAAAGCATCATTTTCCATGACGCCCTGGACATGTTCAGGGTCGTACCATGGATGGACCTCGGAGTCAAAGCCACAGGCATGTCGGAGACGGTAGTAAAAGCAGCGAGCCATGCCATCATGTCGTTTAAGATATGCTGTTTGTGCCAAGGAAGGGCATCCACTGACAAGGTGTTGGACAGTCTCTGTGAATTCATTGCAAAGTCGACATTTCATGTTAATATTCTCTTTAAGAATCACATTTAGGCGATTACGAGTGGGAAGTGACTGGTCCTGAGCAGCAAATAGGAAGCCCTCAGTTTCACATTTAAGACCAGCCGACTTCATCCAGGCGAAGGAGTCGGAGGGATTGCTATTCTGTTCCACACACTGCATGTACACACGATGCAATGGCTTCTCAGAAAGCTTCTCCACAAAAGACCGACTCTGGGCAGACTTGGTGAAGGACTTCACCTGGTTTACTCCCATCGCTGTACCGTCCAGCAGTACATCGCCATCAGCAAAGTCAACCTCAAATTTCAGATTCTGTCCAACAACCTTGGCACGCTTAAAATAACTGTGGAATTCCTTGCTTTCATCATGAGTCTTCACATGCATCACCAGAGGATCATTCGATAAATAAATATGTGCAAAAATACACAATAAAATTCTGTCATGAAGAGCCTCCACATTAATCAAACCCCGACCTCCAGAATTGATTGGCCTATATACACGGTTAAGAGAGGAACGAGGGTGGTGGACTCTGTTATCAGACATGATCCTTCTGGTCAGGCGGTCAAGACTCTGGATGTCTTGTTTCGTCCAATCAACTACTCCAAAGGAATAGGAGAGGACTGGCACAGCAAAAGTATTGGTGGCTTTGACCTTGTTTCGAGCATTTAGCTCTGAGCTCCAGATTTTCTTTAAACGAGATTTGTACTCGGCCCGAAGTTTGTCTTGAATCTGGGCATTCTGGAGCTTATCTCGAACTTGCATTCCAAGATAGGTGTAGGCCTGATCTTCCACAAGATGCTCAATAACTCCTCCCCCTTGTAACTTGACCGACCCATCATTAGTTACCTTGCCACGTTTCAAATGAAGAGTATTACATTTGTCGAGTCCAAATGTCATGCCAATATCATTCGAAAAGGACTCGACAAGGAGAACCTGCTCTTTCAAATTGGTATCTCCTTTGGCAAGGAGCTCGATATCATCCATGTAAAGGAGATGAGTAAGAGGTGTTGGGGATCTGTGCTGAGGAGGTCCGGGATGGTAACCCTCCTCTTTATTGAGCAGAAAGCTCAAAGGATTTAAAGACAGACAAAAAAGCAAAGGACTAAAGGAATCCCCCTGAAATATTCCCCTTCTGATTGGAATAGATTCCGAAGTCTGCACCTGCCCCAGCGAGTACATCTCAAGTTGAGTCGACCAGCAACTCATTAAAGACTTGAGTAAATCAAGTAGTCGCTGAGGGAGGTCAATGCAATGAAGAGACTTCAGAATCCATTCGTGAGGGACAGAGTCATATGCTTTTTTGTAGTCAATCCATCACATGGAGAGTTTGCGGTGATACGTTTTAGCCTCTTCCAAAATCATTTTCTGTACAAGAAGTTGATCCTTGCACCCCCAACATCCCTTTCTTGCTCCCTTCTGCTCTCTGTAAATCATATCATTGGCAGAGCAGTAAGATGACACGAGGTTTGTCAAACACCCTGTGAATATTTTATACTGATTATTATTTATTATTTATTATTATTATTATTATAATTATTATTATTATTATTATTATTATTATAAGATATTTATATAGCGCACATATCCAGGCAACTAGTGCATGCTCAAGGCGCTGGTATTTTTTCCCTCGACCACTGGATGTCAATCTCAACGGCACATCGTATAATCAATCTCAACTCCCTGAGGAGGATACAACTCTTGCAGCCAATAAGGCGCACCGAGTTATTGTGGCGTGCTGATCCTAACGAGGTAACCATTCACAGCTGGGTGGACTGGGACACATGGTCACAGTACTTTGTCCAAGTTTTACTGCACGTTGCTGTACCCGCAACTAGGTGTTTGCATGTATCCATGTGGCCACCATCTGGTCATATACCAACGGATTCGTGGGTTCTTTTAAGTGGACAGGGTTGTGACAACACTGAAAGAGTCTGCACACAAAGTTGACTCCAAGGTTTTTACACCCGGTCACAGGTGGGCTCGATCCCGACACCTCAACCTCGCTGGATCACTAGCCTGGCACCTTAGCCAGCTCGCCCACCGCGCCCCTTTACCAGACAATCGAATCCAGACCAAACAATCCAGTGATCAACAACACGAGCAGCATGCGATGACATGTGTCAGCGAGCCTGACTACCCGATCCCGTTAGTCGCCGCTTACGACAAGCATGGGTTGCTGAAGACCAATTCTATTCTGGATCTTCACGGGTGTCTTCAAGAACTCTAATCAGTACCACTGTCCCACACAAGTCCAGTTTGGACAAGTTATTTAATAATCTAATTAACAGGAAATGAGCTTCCAACATTACACATATGTTAGGAATCGAACCCCAGTGTTTGGCGTGACGCTGTAACCACGCCTAAAGTGAGAAGTAAAACCAAATTTAAGCATTTATGTACCGCTCTTCTTTATTCAGACACCACCCGTGAAGATCCGGGTTAGAATATCGATCTTCAGTAACCCATGCTTGGCGTACGAGGCGACTTACGGGATTTGGATGGTCAGGCTCGCTGACTTGGTTGACACATGTCATCGTTTCCCAATTGCGCAGATCGATGCTCATGCTCGATTATTACAGACCGCCGCCATATAGATGGAATATTTGCTGAGTGCGGAGTAAAACTAAACTCACTCATTATTCAGACACATTCATTTATCCATCCGATAAACAGTATATCAGGATCCGATGAACATGCAAATGAGGTCACCTAGCAAGAACAACTTTTCAATTCCATATTAATCAATACTGTGTGATGAAGTACGTAGGGGTGTTTCTGGTTACAAATATAGATGTAAATAACTGGGCACTCTATGGTCTGTTGGGCGGTTCACTCCCAAATATTTTCAGTTATTAAAGCTACCTCAAGGAGTAATAATTAGGTCTTAAACCACGATTGATTTTAGAATGATATGCCGGTGGCGGAATTATTAAAAGTTAAGGTGGCTGTGGGGTAGCCTAGTGGTTAAAGCGTTTGCTCGTCACGCCGAAGGCCCGGGTTTGATTCCCCACATGGGTACAATGTGTGAAGCCTATTTTGGGTACCCGCAGTGATATTGCTAAAAACGGCGTAAAACTAAACTCACACTATAATAATGTCAGTCTCACTGTTTTATAAGCGTCAGTTCAGAATATTGTAAGTGTGGTCAGTTCCGGAACTGAAACATGAACCATTACGTATACTTTGCGACGAAAGATGGGGTTTCCATGGTAACTTGTTTTAATAGTCTCTCTCACAGTCCTTAAAAGGCATTCTACCATGACTTCAGTAAACACTGGATTGTGATTGGTTAATTAAAGTCATTCAGAGGTATATAATCACGTTATACAGGTCTCTGTTTTCCGTGCGCAATCATACATGGTTTACGGTAATGCACTATTTTTTGTCTGCCCACCAACATGGCGGACACCAAACAACCTACCGATGCATCGATAAATTACGGCGATTTTACTGTCGGAAATTACACATATGTCTTTAAAGATGGATTTAGCGATGACGGGCTCGACTCACTACTTGCGTAAATCACAGCAATAGGTGTTTATACATACAAAAGTACTTCGAAAGGATGGAAACAAATATTCAGTCGAACAAGAACAAAACATCGTTAGCTTTCCGAATAAAAATTCAGCAAAAACAAATATGTTTACGTTGATTCTATGTTATGTCAGAATAGATCCAGCAATAGACTGCTACATAATTTCCGTGTTAAATTTATTATCAGCTTTCGTCAA